TAATTAAATTAATGAGATCATATTTAGAAAACAGACATCAGAGAGCATCAGTGAAAGATATTAAGATTAATAAAGTATCTTCCAAATGGGAGCTTGTCAAACATGGAGTCCCACAGGGCTCTATATTGGGTCCATTACTATTTCTCATTTACATAAATGATTTTCCACTAACCATAAACAAAATGGCTAATCCAATATTATTTGCAGATGATACCAGCATCATTATATCAAACACCAATCCTGAGAAATTTAAAAGTAATGTCAGTTCAGTCTTGAATGAGACAATTAATTGGTTCAATAGCAACTTTTTAACACTGAATTGTGAAAAATCACACTTCTTGCAATTCTTATTAAAAAAACATAAAGAAATAAAAATGCAAATAATATCTTCTAACTCAGTGATTACCAATATTAATTGTACTAAATTCCTGGGTTTAAATGTTGATAGTACAATGTCATGGAAGGATCATAGCACTGAACTGTCATCAAGACTAAATAAGGCTTGTTATGCAATAAGGGCAATAAAACCATTTATGTCTTTAGACTTAATGAAGTCGATCTATTATTCCTATGAACCCTGTATTCTGTCTTACAGTATTATCTTCTGGGGTAATTCTTATCTCAGTGACAGTATTTTTAAAATTCAAAAAAGAATAATAAGAGTTATTACTAGCTCAGGTAGATACGACTCATGCCGTGAATTATTTAAAAAATTACAAATATTGCCACTTCAGTCTCAATACATATTCTCACTACTTGTCTTTGTCATCAAGAACAGAAGTTGCTTTATATCTAATTCTGATATTCATGATATTAATACTCGTTACAACCACAATTTACACTTGCCTTCTACAAATCTGTCATCTGTACAGAAAGGAGTACTCTTTTCTGGAAGTAAGATTTATAACCACTTACCACTAAATATTAAAATGCTATCTAAAGATATTAAGCATTTCAAATCTTCATTAAAAACTTACCTTACAGAACATGCATTCTATAGTATTGATGAATATTACCAATTAACTTCCTAATGAATATGGTTCTTTTTATATTTCTTGCCCTTTGTGCATTTTGATTAGTTGTGGGAGGTCTTCCCACTGTAATTCATGTTTCATTGTCTTCACTATTATCTTGTGTATTTGTTCAAACTGTGTTTTGTGACACTGTTGTGCAATACTGTGTTTTACTTTATGTCCTTATTGTGCTCATTATGAATGTATGTATATATCATTATTTTATGTTTATATTATATTTGTATCTTGACAGGTTCTATATCCCATAGGTTGGTTTGACCTTGTATGGACTAACAGAATGCAAATGAATGAATGAATGAATTATCACCCAATAGATTCACATCATTGGCATAGACCAACAGCTGATGTGTCCCATTTAATTTCAGAAGGACAGGAAAATAATTTGTCCTTAGAAATATAATTTATTATGTGTTAAACGTTTAGGCTAGTAAATTAAAAGCTGGATTTCCAGATGTTTGTTACATCAAGAAAGTTCTATATTATCATGTAATAGAAATTGGTTTTATTTGACTCTTTGATACAGTGTGTGACTGCACTTTACAGTACACTGTTACACAAACACACACAGCCACACACACACACACTCCCCCCCCCTCTCTCTCTCTCTCTCTATATATATAGTGTTCACAGTCACATCTTCACTGCCATTGCTTGTCAGCAGTTTCCAATGGCAGATGTTCCTCTTCCTCTGGGTTCCCAAACTGTCCTCAACCTCAGCTACCATATTCTAACAGCAACAGCTCACAATGACTATACCACAGCAGTCCTCTAACTAACTCACTCATTCCTCCTTTGTCCTGTTTATAACATCTCAACACAGACCACACAGAAAACACCATTCCCTTGTTACAGTGCAATTGCTGCCACGGAAACATGCTTGTTTGCAGAGCCATTACTTACCAACGGCTGTTGTGTAGGGGCTTATTTCGCGGTTGTTGCCTAGCAATGGGTCTACATGTCATGATTTTTGTTTTCATATTTTCACAGCTCTTAGTGTTCACATTTTGTCTTCTGGATTCTCACACCATGTAGTCTTGTAGATGAATACAAGACTACAGAGTGTCATTATTCAAGACACTGTAGTTCCAATCATTTTGTAGGTGGCCCAATAATACTGTCTGAAATAAATAAAGGCAATAATTTTCTTAATTTCTTTCAGTCATAATATCGCACGTAAATACTAAAACACTTAAAATATGTTCTTTTATTTTTGAAGGGTATTGAACCTGTACTTAGTGAATTGGAAGTGTCAGAGAATCAGAAGAAACTGATGAACTCTAATGACCTTAGTGAGGGAAGCACAGAGGGTAAGTTACAACATTGCCATTTCAGTCGAAGTTATGTTAAAATTCTGCTTATATTTTGGCATTCTGATCATAAATGGTGGTGGTTAACACCAATGATCTGTTGTACCTGTGTGGAGACTGGACATATGAATGCATCTGAAATGGGCTCGAGTCTTGAAATATTACTATATGCTTGTGCTTGCATGCACATGCAGTCTTTGTTATAATAACTGCATGGAAGTTACTAGTCCATATGAACTAAATATAAGAAATTGAAACAGAATATAAACAGCTTGGTCTTATTTAATCTGTATTGATTTTATTTCACAGTAAGGTATTTATGCTGTTCATTGTTATTGTCAAAACATAGTAAAAGGTAGTTTTGTATTTGTAAACAAGTATATATGTTTTAGAAATAAACCACTCCATTGTTTGTATTCTCTATTTTTACCTTGTACTTTCTCTTCCAGAACTGTTTGGTGTTGAAAAAGCAACTAATCCTATAACTGGTCTTCATGAAAAAGATCACAATTTAAATGTGATAACTCGGCGCAATATGCAATTATACAATCGTTTCAGAGATCGAATGTATAGTGTTGAAAATGATTGCAGCAAATCTTCAAGACATGAAACTGAAATGAAAAGAATAGAGGAAAGTAGAAGAAATCTACCCATTGCAGAATTTAGGTGAGAAGTCTTTATTGTTTAATAATTTTTTCCTTAGTCTGCTTTCTGTATTTTCTAATATCATTATCATGATGATTGTAGCTCTTCGTGACATTGGCATCAAACTAAATAATTGATGGTGGAGAGAGAATTAACATTAACATTCTTTTAGTTTTTTGTGTTGAGCAATGTTTTTATATGATTGTTAGAATTTTCTTTCACCTACCCTCCTAATTATCATTCCAACTCCTCTCACGCATATTGCAGCAGATGTATTTGGTCTGGATATATCATCATGCCTGTGTCAGTGGTTATGTCTGTCTTTATCCCACAACGAACCTGTCATTGGATTTTCTTGTAACCTTGGTACTAACATCAAATTTAACACTTTTTTTATCTATTTTAATGATTATAAACTGTACATATATATTTATATTTGTATTATACTATATTAATTATGTGACTGGTTCTATATCTATGTATATGGATTTATGGAATATACAATAAATGAATGAATGTCAATAGAGAACTTCCCACATTTTTATTTTTCAGCCATCAATATTAGCATCGAATGTTTTGAATTTCTGAGATGAGAGCAGTGCTGGTGCCAATTTTTGTGTGCTCTAGAAATCTGGTGCAGAAAGAACTCCAAAAATATGCAACCTTTGATTTTTTTATTCTAGCCTCGTAGAATGTAAAACAACATGATAGTTACTTGAAAGCTATATTTAGTTTTTGAATTGATATCAATAACTAATGAACCCTTGATTGGATCAGGGGATTTGCCATTTTATATGTGGATTGATCAGAAATATGCTGGCACATTATGCATGAAACATTTCATGTGTTAACTGATTTTAGGCTTTGCAGGTTCCTGCCCAGGCTCATATCAAGCCACTGACCTCACACATTGATCTAGTGTTTAAATTAAAAATACAAGTACATGCAGTTTTGATATTAAAGTCTTCTGAAATGTGATGCCATGTAGTCTGGTAGATAGGTACCAACATTTCAGAGGAACCTGAGGTCTCTATCATCTTCTATCTTGTATTTGTATTTGTTGTAAGTTCAAGATATCCGAAGTTGAATATAGAACATATCATAAAATAACATAGAGCACAGAATACATATAAATATTACACAGCTAGACAGTACAATGAATACAACAGCAATAAAATGTATCTATTTAGATATCCATCCACTGTATAAAATGCATGAGTATTCAAGAGGACAGATGAACAGGGCTCTCCAAAATATTGGCACTTCTCTACTAAATTAAAGGATCACATCGCAGAGGACCATAATATTGTGACATGTTGCACAATGGAGGACAACCCCTCCCTACCCAGCAGTGATGTGGCGGGTGAGTCAGCGCTCCCCCCCCTCCGCACTGTGACATGGCACGCAACGCCGCTGTTGACACGAAGTCAGGCAACAGCAGTACCCATTGCATAACAGGCAAGCGCTGCGACTATATAAGTGAAACACACTGCCTACAAAGGCAGTTGAAATGTGGCCGTCGCAGAGTGCAGTTGTTGTCAGTTAAATATGTCAGTTCTCCAGTCATTAGTGAACAAGTTCTTAAGGCAGCAGCCTACAGTTGAGTTGGAATCTAGCCAGCGGCGAGTTACGAGTTGAATTGAATTGTAGTAGTCACCGAGTTCAGTTGCAACGAGTGAATCGTGACAGAGTGAATTGATTAGTGCATAGGGTTTGTAAAGTGTGGAAACCCGTAACATTGTTATAATTAACTGTAGCCGAGACTTGTAGGTTGTTGAATAAACCAATTAACAATCTTAACGGCGTCTTCAGTAACGAAACACGTTACAGCATTATTTCTGTAAGAATCACAAATCATTTTTTCCCTCGTGTTTCTTCATGGCATGGTGCATAAACTTAGAGACAACTTTCCTTTAACTTTTGTCAAATGTATGATAGCAGCAGCAAATTACTACTACTACTACTACTACTACTACTACTACTACTACTACTACTACTACTACTATTGCTGCTGCTACACTACATCATATTGTAACGTTTTAAAAGTAAAAGCCTTTGTTTGTGCCACACATATCTGCTGCATTTTTTTTAATTCTTCTCCGAGGACTACAGAATACTTAGTTTTCTCGCATTTATTTAAGGTAATAAATTTTATGTTATGTTTATGCAGGGAACAAATATTGCATATGGTGGAAGAGAATCCTGTGATTGTGGTGAAGGGGGAGCCAGGCTGTGGGAAAAGTACGCAGGTACCACAATACATAATGGAACACTGGGAGGCATCACAGCAAGGTGCACATTGTAACATAATTGTCACTCAACCACGTCGCTTAAGTGCCATATCATTAGCGGAGTGGGTAGCACATGAAAGACAGGAGAGGGTGAGTGATAAAGTGACTTATGAATTTGAACGAAATAGATTTCAGTTCAAGGGATACAGAATTGTAATCAGGCAGGTTGATTTAGCTGAGATGCTCTGGATTTGTATAAGGGAAGATCCCAATTCAAATTTTATCTGGGTTATAATATATTTTTGCATTGCCGAGGGCATAGCCTGGTCTCAGTTATTTAAATAGCTGTAGTGAATCTGACATGGGTTGTCCAGTGCATTCAGTGACTGAGGTAGCTCTTACTAATGGACCCAACAGAGTAGGTGTCCTCCTCCTCCTCTGAAGATGGAAACAGATCCAGTTTCAGAAATGTTTTTTCTAGTTTTAGAATACCCAGTAATGACAATTAAGTTCCCAAACTGAGGCCATAAAAATCACATAGAAAGATAAAAAAAATACTTATATTGTCACTCAGTATAGTCCCCGCCCTCTTCCACATGCACAGATTCATGCTGAATGATACCTTCAGCATAAAAAAATGCAGTCAACATTTTTTCACCTGTGAATTTTGCATTCTCACTTTCTGAGCTTGTATGAACATTTTTTTGCCATTCAGACACACTTTTTTCTCAATAAACATTTTGCACCGTGTGCACTTTTAAATATTTCAAACGTTTCAGTAGCTGTTTTGTTTGATTTTACACAAAACTTCATCGCAGCTCTTTGTTCCATTTTGAAACCTTTGACATGATGAAAAAACTGACTTTGCCAAAACAATTGCAATCCTCATATGCATCAACTAAACATGTTGAATCTTGCACATCATATAGACAAACGTTCTGTCTAAACTATCCTTGTTCATTTCCAGTAGATGTCATTATTAGTATTACTGTAATATCATCAGCTCTGGAACTTAATTGTCACACTATGTACACCACTGTGAAAACTCTTTAGAATCTAAATCATCTTGTGTTTGTAAATCTTATTAACTTCTGTGATTTTTATACTAAATATACTTTATATTATGAATATTGAATGAAATAAAGGGAAGCTACAAAGTGGTTCAAATATGACTGGGACTGATTTGTGTGTAAACAAGCCGCACTGCGCAGCAGCTGTGCGACCTTGAGAGAGTGAAGCTGCATCCTCCACCCTCCCTCCTGTTCGGGTTACCTGTTCAGTCCTGTCTGGGAGTTGCTAGAGTGATGAGCGAATAGAAGGTACCGCGGAGTGTTGGAACAACGCATTGTGATCAAATTCCTCATTGGAGAAAACGTCCCATCCGCTGAAATTTACCACAGACTCCAACAACAGTATGGAGAAGAGTGTCTCTCATGGACCCACGTGTTTGAGTGGTGTAAGTGCTTCAGAGAGGGCAGAGAGCACGTGGAGAAAGAACCGCATGATTGTCGGCTGCGAATATCCGTCACCGAGCCAAACATTGATCATGCAGACACGCTTATTCATGAGAATAAGCTCATCACTATCAAGGAACTTGGAGCGATGTTGTCCATCAGTGTTGGTAGTGTAGAAGACGTGGTGAAATACCACCTGTACTATCGCAAGGTGAATGCATGCACTTTGACGGACGTGAACAAAATGGTGCGCGTGCAAGCTGCAAGTCGTCTCCTACAGCGGTTTGAAGACAAAGGTGATGCATTTTTGAGGTCTATAGTGACCACCGATGAAACGTGGGTGCACTACTTCGTTCCCGAGTCTCTGCAGTCATCACACGAGTGGCGGCATACCAGTTCTCCCAAACCCAAGAGAGTGTGAGGGAGCTGTTCGGCAAGAAAAGTGATGGCAGTGTTCTTCTGGGACTGGCAGGGGGTTATCCATGTATACTTTCTGACATGCCTAAGCAGTCAATGCAATTTCCCTCCGGAAATTGAAATGGAACCTTCTGACACATCCACCATACAGTCCCAATTTGGCCCCAAGTGATTTCTACCTGTTCGGAAGGCTCAAATCAGATTTGCAAGGCATGTGGTTTGTGGACGACGCCATCATCCAGACTGTTCGGGAGTGGATACGCCGCCAACAACAAGCCTTTTTTGAAAAGGGCATCAGGATGCTTCCAGAACGTTGAAAAAAATGTGTTGGCTCCGAAAGGGAGTATGCTGAAGACTGACATGTGCAAGTAAGTGTTTGGCAATTATGTTAAAAAAAATCGTCTGGTCATATTTGAACCACCTTGTAATTTCTGATTCTTTGCTGTTTGGATTCTGTAGTGAATTTATCTTTGCAACAGTAGGTATACATTTACTGGAATGAGCTTCAGGGTTTTGATGTGCAGGTGGGAGATGTTGTTGGCTACCAAGTTCGATTAAAGGCTGCGCTACCACGACCTCCTGGTGGTGCTTTACTCTACTGCTCAACAGGCATCCTCCTTCGTCGGCTCCAGAGCAACCCGGGACTCACTGGTGCAAGTCATGTCATATTGGATGAAGCCCATGAACGTGATGTGAACACAGATGTTCTTCTCGTTCTTCTGCGGAGAGCTTTAGCTCTGAACCCAAAATTGCGTGTGATTGTGATGAGTGCCACCATTAATGCTGAGCTGTTCCAAAAGTATTTTGATAATGCACCCATGCTGCATATTCCAGGATTTACATATCCTGTGCAGTCTTTCTACTTGGAAGATGTTAATATTCCAGGAGTGAACTTGAAATGTAATGTGTCACATCTTCCTGCTATTGACTGTCTTCAGGTAGCCAATATAATTCAGTGGGTGGATAAAAACCGGCCTGATGGAGCAATATTATGTTTCCTGCCTGGTTGGGCAGAAATAGTAACTGTAATAAAACATCTGGGCAAACATGATTCACATCTTATTTTGCCAGTACATTCTCGGCTCAGTAATGAAGAACAGCAGCGGATCTTTAGCACTCCTGCACGAGGAATACGCAAAATAATTCTTGCTACGAATATTGCTGAAACTAGTATTACCATCAATGATGTGATATATGTGATAGACACAGGAGCACACAAAGAGGAAAGGTAAGGTCATTGTAATTGCTCACATTACATATTTAACATACGTTATTTTACTGCCAAGGTTAAATTGAAATTGATTTCTCATTTGGTTTGCCAGTGGCCTTATAGGAGCTGGTTGGTAACAGGGCTGAACATGTCTCAGAAAGTAGATACAGTTTTGATGCAGTGTACACTGTTGCTGCATGACTCAGCATGATACATCACCTTGGAAGGAACTGTAATAGAATATTGATGAATGAAGTATATTAAACAATTTCATAATATTGCCATTACTTTGTTGCATTTCAGTTGAATAGTCATCATCATCATTCTTTCCAGTATCAGACCTATTGAGGCCTTTATGGATATTACAAAACAGAATCCTTCCACCATTTAAGATGTCTTCCCAAACTTTGTTGTCCTTTTGGTTGGTATTTTGAAATCTTTCTTGGAATCTGATCAGGACCTCATCCTGTTGGCGTGTTCACTTTAATAATATGATTAATAAAAACGTTTCATGCTGATTTTGTTCTCTGTATCAAAAATGTTTGTATCTGACCCATTCATTACCCCCCAGAATATGTTAGATTACCCTTGGAGGGGAGGTGTGTATGTATATTTGATTTGTAGTGTTGTATTTTAGCGTCCTGTTGCACTGATTTTCGTCCATGATATGTATGCTGTGTCCGTCTTGTAGTGCACTCAATTTCACCTGTTATTTCACAACATGTTTCAGCAACATAGTGCCATCATCAGGTGCTCCATTTACATTAATCTATTGCATTGCTTGCCATTTTGTCATTGTAAAATTATTTAAAAAATATTTAAAAATATTCGTCAATTATAATAAATTTTTATGCACTAAAATCTTGTTAAAATATTCATCTTATATGTCCCAATTCAAACCCACGCATGGTTCCTCCACTATGGGAGTCGTTCCTCTTATACTCCGTGTATATCGTGTCTCGTGATGTGTGTTCCCTTTTTGGCTGTGGGTGTTGTAATCTGTTGATTTGTAGGAATAAGTTTTTCATCAGCATTTGTGTAAAATTTCAAGAAGATGAACATTAGGGTATTTTAAGTTTAAAAATGGCTTGTACATGTCATGATTCTCTTTTGTCAACATACAGGCTGAATGTCCAGCTTGGTGTAGGAGTGCTGGACAGCCATTGGGTGTCACAAGCAAATGTGAATCAACGACGGGGACGAGCTGGGAGGGTCAAACCAGGCGAGTGCTATCACATGTACACACGGGATACGTACAACTCTTTAATGAAGTTTCCAGTTCCAGAGGTGCTTCGTGTTCCACTAGAAAAGACTGTTCTTGATTGTAAGGTAAGGTTACAGATCTTAAGTCTGTCTCTTGGAATGCTGCTTGACTTAATGCATATGTGAAACAAGGCTGGGTGCTCTTTTGAGAAGTGGAACTACAAAATTAGAGTGTATGTATTTGTCTAATTTTTATATAAGAATGACTTTACCCTTGTGTAGCATACAAGATTTTTAACCAGTTAAGTGGGTATGAGATCTGAACAGATCATACGCTACTGTGTATCATAGTGGGTATGATGTCTGCACATGTCATGCATGTTTTCAACTACATCATTGTAGATATAATTTCAGTCAGCAATGAAAATTTTTACATTGTGCTTGTTAGATCTTGTTACTTCACAGTGTGACAGGAAGGTGCTGGTTGCTTGGCAGCTGCCCTGTGTTTCAGATTTTGAGAGTAAACATGCCAGTTCCTAGTAAGAAAATGCGTATGAGTGATAAGGAGGTGTAATATGAACTGTTGCAAGAGAATTAATATAGTGATATTCCTGAGAGCCAGTATAGTAGTGACAATGAAATAAATGTGAAAATTTTGTCATGCAACAAACAGAGTGTCAACTCTGACGAAGAAGAAAACTTTGGTGGCAACAGTAGCATGCAGCATGGCATGTGGGCAAAGTCAGGTGCTGAGTTATCACGCGTCCAATTTACTGGTAGGCCTGGCATAAATGTTGATTTAGAAGACCCCACTAACCCCCTGGAATATTTGAAATTGTGGAAGTAATAGCCAGGAAAACAAATCAGTATGCCCAAAAATTTTTAGGAAACACACCTAATCTAAAAGTAGTATCTAGGATCCATCACTGGAAGGAGACAAACAGAAATGAAATAATGAAGTTGCTGGCATTCTTTCTGTTACAAGGACTTCACCAGAAGCCGGATAACAGCTAATTTTCCAGCAGGAAAACCTGTATTTTTGGACCTGTTCAGTGAGATGAGGTTTCATCTTCTACTCGAGTTTCTTCATTTTGCTGGAAATGAAAGTTACAGTGAGGCCACTTATGGTTACAAAAGACTGAATAAACACAAATTCATACTGGATCACCTAAATGCCAAATTTAGGAGTGTATATATCCCAGAATGTGATGCATCAGCAGATGAGTATTTGATGATGTGGAGGGGACATTGTCATGGAAGGTATACGTTCCTTCAAAATGTGCTAGATTTGGTATAAAATCATTTGACTTGTATGAAATCAAGTCTGATTATGTATGGAATTTTATTATTTACACTGGGCAGTCCCTAAAAATGAGCATAGTGGCTCAAAAGTAGTTCTACAACTAATGGCTCCTCTACTGAATCGGGAATACTGTGTAATCATTGACATTTGGTTTTCAAGCCCAAATCTGTTCCATAAGGTGTGCAGGAAACAGACTGACGCTGTAGGAACAGGAAGGGTGGCCCTGCTGAAATAAAGAGTGCAAAACTGGAAAAAGAACATGTTTCAGTCTGCAAGCCAGAATAATAATGATGAAGTTGTGAGACAAAAGGATATTTATCTTATAAGTACTGCTCATGACAAAATGGTTCCAATTAGGGTTTGAGGGCAAGACATGGAGAAGCCCAAAGTATTCATTGATTATAATTCCGGGATGAGAGATGTGGACTTCAGTGATGCTTACTTGACATGCTGTCACAACACAAGGAAAAGAGTAAAAAATACATATTGCCACGGTGTCAAAACAAAATTCATGTCAGCACCATGTTACATGCTACAAAACAAGGTGCAACTCTGAAAACTGTAGGGTGGTTCTGTGTGCTTCACCTTGTTTCCAACGTTACCATTTGGTGGCAAAATTCTAGAGATGTGAAAGGGGATTGAGACTCAGCAAGTGGCTAAGAAGTGTCTGAAGGTAAGATTTTGGTAATTAGAAAGTGTACTATGGACTGGTATTGTTAACTACACCAAAATTATAAAGACCTTCACAGTATGTGGCACTGAGGTTGCAACACTGTTTCCGGTGGTATAATCATTTTAGTGATGATTTCATACAATATGTGCATAGCCCCATATTTGATCTAATGATAAAATATATCCCACATAATAATAAATCACTCACCTTCCCCCACCCTCCCATACTCTACTTCTCCTGACATTACCTAATGAGAACCTTAGTCCCTTCCCAGCAACACAATTAGGTACAACACCACATCACTAGAAGGAACAAAACTATACCTCACCAAGTAATTACATAAATCAACAAGAGATATACACCAAGTAAATATTCATAATTCTAATGTACAGTACATTAACAGAGCCGGGATAGTGTAATCAATATAGTGACTGGCTATGGGCTGGATGACTGAGCGGTCAGAGTTCAAGTACTGAAAGGATCAAGAATTTTCTCTTCTCCACATCATCCAGACTGGCTCTGGGGTCCACCCAACCTCCTACTCAGTGGGTACCAGGGGCTCTTTCCACAGGGGTAAAGCGGCCAGGGCGTGAAGCTGACCACTCACATCCAACTAGTACTGAATTCAAGAAAATGTGGATCTATACATTCGCTCCCCTATACACCCTCATGGTGTAGTGATTAATTAAGCACAGGGACAACTTTACCTTTACAGTGCATTAACATCACATGAAATCCATTTTCAGAAAACTAGGAAACAGCACCACAAATAAACCTCCAATACACAAAAGATTACTGATATAGAACAACAAATAAGAACATGACTGGAAGCCTGGGAGCTATGTATGAAGAGCTTCTTTTTGTTGCCGGACTTTTTCAATTAACTGACAAAGTGAAACTCATGTGCTGTAGTGCAGTCGAACCTATCAGAAAGGGAATGCCACAGAGCTCTGCTTCTTACCAGTCTTTTGCTTGTCTTACCCTCTGACCTGAAAATGTTCCTCTGAAATCAGTGTACTTCTACCAGACTACACAGTGTTACATACCAGAAAATAACACGCTTCATAGGCCCAGCTTGCTGGTTTCTTGCATGACTTAAACTTCAACCCTGAAGATGGAGGCGGTTTGTTCCTCTGAAACTTTGGTAGACATCTAGCAGACTCTACAGCATTACATACTACAGTGCGTACAATCAAGTGCGCGCCGCGGCTGCAATTTGCCGTGAGTCATACCACCGCAGAACGGATGCAGTCGCGGGGAGGAGTTGCANCAGGCTACACAGCATTACATCCCATAAGATTGTGCCCTTAAAGTTTTATTTTAATGTTCCCTACAGGGCATTCCAAAGTAATACCAGAGAAACTAGCATATTATATGCCAGTCCATCTTCATATACAGTTTAAAGACCAGGGTATGATGAGGCTAGCTGTTTGAAGGTTAATCATTGTCCCATGTATTTCAGTAAGCATGAGATATATAAAGAAAGTTGCAAATAGCAGTTTTATATTGTCACCTGTTGGGTGTATAACGCGACAAATAACTTCACGCCGTATTTGATGTAGCGAATTTATTAAACACTCGCTCTCACAATCTCACACAGTTTACAATCTCACAATTACTGCCCTTGGCAGTATCACAAATTATCACATCAAATCTTCCAACCACACGTTCGGGTCTTCTTCCCGCGACTGCTGCTATATTTCAACTGACTCCTTAGGCAGTGTAGTTGTCTTATAAACCCTCAGCCAGACAATGGGAAAACGCCTCGCTTCCTTGTTGCCTAGTCGCCATGTTTACAGGTGTTGCTGGCAACGCTATCGAGAGTTGTTTATTGCTGCATAGCAACTGCTGTATCCCTTGGTAACAATACAGTCACTCTTCTGCCACGTCACCGCAGGGGAGGGGCTTGCCCACCGAGCGTTGTGTACTGGTGGAAGGAGTGGGGTTATGTGACATCACTCGCAAAACCACAAAGTTCACATGACCCCTACTTCCCGTTGCGCTATCCACATCACACTGCTCCCTTCTAAAGGTTGTTCATCCTGAACTGCCTAACAGTACATCCCCATTCCTTTTTCTTCCTGTTGCTGGGCTAGCTGTGTCTCCTTTTGTTTCGGCTACTCCTCTTTCAGCGACTATTCTCCATCCATTTCATCTGCTCCCCTCTTAAGACCAGCTCGTCTCGAGAAGTTTCCTGCCAACATGCCCGAAGAGCCTGTTGTATCACATTCACTCCTCACTTTCATCCATCGCACATTCACTCTCTCTGGGGAGGCCGGTGTTTCTAATTTACTGGCTCTTCTTCTGTGCTCTGCTTCTTTTTTGTTTTGTAGGGGGTCGACCTCTCCACAAGGTTCAGTTTCTTATTTTTCATAACCTGTTGGAAGTACCGACTATTTGCTTCACGATCTTCCTGCCGACAATCTTGTAGAAGATCGTTTTCTGAGTTCCTCTCCTTCCTAGGTGCGATTGCTGTCCTGATCGACACCCTCCAATGGCGTTCTTGGTTGTCACCTTTTTCATTTGATAAAGTGGCTGTCTGCCGCCTATGTTCTTTATTCCCATTTTTCCTTTCCAGGTTTCTTGTTCAGCATTGAACCTGGTTGAATATTTCTTTACTGAATTTCCCTTGCGCCACGTCGCACCTACACGGATAGTCATATTTCTGTTGGCAGCAAATTCGTGCCGTGGTCCACACTTTCCTTGGGTCCAAGATTTCCTGAAGATGTTCCTCCTATGCCATGCCACTGTTGCATGGCGGGACATCTTCCTGCTAGTTTTATTCTGCTGTGCCACATCCACACGGTGGCTCGTCCCTCTGCGGGCGACGGCTAATTTCTTCTGGGGTCCACAATTTTCCCATGTCGAGTACTTCATATTTCGCTGGTTTCAGTTCTTACACCTTTTCTTTTTCGGTTCTCCAACCGGCATTACATCAGTGTCTTCTACGGGGACCTCTTCGTATCATTCTGCCGCCTCAGGTTTTCTGTCCAGTGAGGTCAGCTGTTCTTCCTCCAGATGTGCCTCCATCTCTTGGCAGGCCATCGTCTCTTTTTGGATTTTCGTTGCTCCTTGTTCAGGTTCTCCAACCAGTATCACTATGGGGACCTCTTCTTGTTGTGCCGCCGCAGGTTTCGTGTCCACTGAGGCCGGCTTTTCCTCTTCTAGGCGCGCCTCCGTTGTTTCTCGGCAGGCCATCATCTCTTCCTCTATCTCGGGTTTAAATGCAGACACCATCTCCTTGTGGCTGGTGTCCATTTTCATCATCATTTCCTTCTGTTCTCTTTGCCTGGCCTGTCTGTCAGCCTCCAATCTGGCCAGCAATTCCTTCTGCCCGATCCCCGCCTTTCCTTGATAGGCATCTAATTTTTCCTCTGCCTTCGCCTGGTTGGCATGTAATTTTGTCAGCATGTCAATTATTTGCATATCTTGTTTCTCCATTTTGTAGCAGTATAATTCATTGAGGCGTGTTCAAGTTCGTAAACAATTCTGACACCAAATTGTCACGTGTTGGGTGTATAACGCGACAAATAACTTCACGCTGTATTTGATATAGCGAATTTATTGAACACTCGCTCTCACTATCTCACACAATTTACAATCTCACAATTACTGCCTCGGCAGTATCACAAATTATCACATCAAATCTTCCAACCATGCGTTTGGCCCTCCTTCCCGCGACTGCTGCTATATTTCAACTGAATCCTTAGGCAGTGTAGTTCTCTTATAAACCCTCAGCCAGACAATGGGAAAATGCCTCACTTCCTTGTTGCCTAGTCGCTGTGTTTACAGGTGTTGCTTTCGATGCTATCGAGAGTTGTTCATTGCTGCATAGTGACAGTGGTATCCCTTGGTAACAACACAGTCGCTCTTCTGCCACGTCACCGCAGGGGAAGGGGGTGCCCACCGAGCGTTGCGTACTGGTGGAATGAGTGGGGGTATGTGACGTCACTCACAAAACCACAGAGTTCACATGACCCCTACTTCCTGTTGTGCTATCCACATCACAATATGTTTGCGAGATCAGTATTTAGTGTCATGTGGCTACTGTTTTATAGTGAGCTATTGTGTTCAATTTGGGCATCATACAGAGTAAAAGTTACACTGATCTAGCCTGTTTCAAAATTAAATTGATTCCAATAACTGTCAACATTGCCCCCCCCACCTCCATATACTAAATTTAACTGAAATCCGTTCATTAGATTTAAAGCTGTAAGTTGTGTGAAGAAACGGGTAACTAGCTGCAACCTCAGAATTGTGTGTTCATTTATGCCCTTTGTGCAAAGAACAAGTAAAAGTAATGGATTAAGAAAGTGTGGAAATAAACAGTAATGGTGAGACTTGTTTCAACATAAATGTATCTGTTACAGACATACAGTCAAGACGAGAAAGCAGAAGGATTCCTATCTCAGATGCCTGAACCCCCTCCGCCTGAGTCTGTTGCTCAAGCAGTTCATGAGTTGATTCATTTGGGTGCCTTGGATGAGGATGAAAAGTTGACCCCTTTGGGTAGACGTATTGCGATGTTTACGACACATCCTAAACTGTCCAAAGCTCTGGTGCATGCAGCAGTATTCAGGTATTTATGTTGTCATGTCTAGGGTTGTGTGTTATTAGACAGGTTTTGGATTGGATGATTGGATTTATTGACACCTTATACATATAACTCGGGACTACAGGTAATACAGCACTATCTGTGATCTACACACTTTACAATTCATCATTGCACACACATCTTGGCAACGGATTTATAACAGTCTTACTGTTGCTTCAATTCAGCCATGAAGTCTTCTTTGCATTGCCTGATTCCTTTCTTTCCATGATTCTGCCAACTTGACTCAGTTTCTACTCCCAAGCTCATATCCTGGAAGGCTGGCGTCTCAAAACTCAACTCCCTTTTTATAACCCCTCAGTATGAACCACGCAGAAAACACAGCCTCTCTATTGTGGAGAAGGCAGGTTTACAGTGCCATTGTATAGTAACAGAAGTTATTCGATTGTTGCTTACATATTCATTGCTGTGTAAATTTGTTTACTGAGCAGTTGCCTAACAGTGGACATCTCCGTTGATTTCACCATTTCGGCTTTTGGGCATCAAATTACAATATTTAAGAGCTTGATTAAAAATTGACGTTGTTGCTCTCTGCTATAAATATTATAGCTATAAATATTATATATTGTTCCTAATATGTGTTTTTAAAGGTGACAAAAACTGTCCTTCGGTCCTAGAAACAGTTGGTATTCGAGCTCCCTCTCGGAACATCCGTAATTTTTCCCTGTTCTGCTGCTCCTCTAGTCACTGCCCTTCAGCCAGATGTGTCTCTGCTGCTAATTTAGTGTGTAACTCTTTAGACATTTTTAGTAATTCTAAAATAAGTTTAAAAAATCTGACTATTTAATTGTTCTTATAGTTGCATCAGATTTATTTCTCAATTAATTATCTAAGCATCTCATTTCTCAGTCTTAAAATATAATGAATTTCTATTATTATTATTCTTATATTTATTATTATTGTAATTATTATTAAAAAATCTGTCTATTTAATTTGTTCATGTAACTTTTTGCAGGACACTTGTTATCACTTCATCATTAATATATTTACTTTTGTAGTACCTTCGACATATGTTATACTTAGACACTGCTTGGCTTCGTCTCTAAAATCTAATTGTGTTCTTTCAATTGTGCATATTGCAATTGAATTTTTGTAATATTTTCATCAATCTGTCTGTATATTGTGTCCTCGTGCTGACTCTGTAATTGGCTACCAGCTGTTGAGTACAGCACGTAAATAAAACCAAGAATTGAATTGAATTGAATTGAATTAATGACTGATTTCATTTTATTGCAGATAGGTGTAGTAGTTTGACACAGATTTCATCATGTTTTTATACATGTTAGAGTGTTGCAATTAAATTTATCAGTAAATTGACCATTCACCATCAGAAACGAGAAGATCTGGGAAGAATCAGTTTTCTTAAAAAGCTTTGGCCTATATGTTGAGACTAACAATAATTACATTTATTATAACATGTATGAGTATATTATGCAGAAGTTTTTAAGTGTATTGTGATTTATCTCCATACAGAATTTCACATGCCTAGCTCCAATGGTACAGATGTACAGTTAACATGATAAAGTGGGAAGATAAAAATAGTTTTCACATGTCTGCTAGTTATTTTTATATTCAACAAAAATTCCACTAAAAACTTTGGAGTTATTTAAATATGTATTATGACTTCTGATTTCAAGTTGTATTAGACATTCCCACCTCAAAAGTTGGCACAGCCTTCACATTGTTACTGGTCTTGATGTTTTTGCCAAGTTTCATGAAAATTTAGAAGTTCAAAAGTATTAAGTTGGCACAGATGCACTGTAACTGTAGAGCTTGACTGATTCATAATTCCTAGCTGACTGATCCACGCACCACTTAATCTCAGTTATGACACTTCCATTCAGCCCTGGTGACAACTAAGAAATAGGGCATTCATTCATCCATTTTATATAACATTCATAATTGCTACAAGAATAACACTTGAACAAGACACATCATTAAGTACATCATTCTTGAATTTCCTTTGCCCAAATGCCTAAAGGATTAGAATTTGTCAACAATAAATAATTACTCTTGACATGGTTAAACCTACAATTAAAATATAACACACACTGTCAAAACCAGATAAATAATTCAATTCAATTCAATTCTTTATTATTAATGTGCCGAGTCAACAGCCGCAAGGCCAATTACAGACACAGCACAGTGCAGATGAATGAATTACATTATAGACAAACTTGTTAAAAGTCAAATACAAATTACAGGTAAGTACTTGGAAGAAATAATAATGAATAAAAGTAAAAGTAAACAAACAAATAACTGATAATTATAACAGTAATAATAATTTCATTATCATTAAACTAAGTGTTATTACGAATTGAGGAATGAACATAAATATTTAATTAAGGAATGAATAGTATAGATTTTCAGAGGATAATAATAATATATGTAATTCAGTTTGTTTTACTGGACATGCAAATAATAAAAATACTAACAGTTATACTATATTTAAAATTTGTTTGGGTAGAACATTACTGGCTTCGAATACGTCAACCTCCCTGCAGACAACATTAGCAGCTGCTGCGCATCTAGCAGAGGGACAATTTTTAAATGAGGAGCAAACATTGAACAATGCAAAATCTCTGATATACCGAGCAGGAACTCGGAGACCAACAATTTCCAGGGCAGAAGGGCAGAATTTAGAGCCAAAATAAACTTGAATAAGAAAGAGAGCATCAAGGCGATGTCTCCTAGTACATAAAGTATGCAATTTTAACTCCTCAAGAGCAAGAAAATAATTGTAATGAACTTGAGGAAAGAAACGTTTAAAACAAAGGGCCGCAAACCTCTGCTGGATGTGTTCCAGCTTGTTGGCATCAGTTGACGTAATCGAATTCCAGACTACGGAATCATATTCAAGCTTAGACCTAACTAACGTAGTGTACAAGCTGAACATACAGTCTAGCGAAGAGAAATTGTAGGTAATGTTACGAACTAGACCCAATAGTTTCGCACATTGAGAGAAAATGTAATTGACCTGGTCATGGAAATATAGCTTAGCATCAATAAACACTCCCAGGTCTTTTACAGAATCGGTCCGGGCTATTGACGTTTGAAAAAGTTTATAATCGTAGATAAGTAAGTTGGTTTTCCTGGTGAAGGATATAACTTTAGATTTACTAATGTTGAGTTTCATACAGTTTGCAATGCACCAACCTTGTATAGAGTTAACGTCAGACTGTAGTAGATAGCAGTCATGAGGGGAACTAATGGCTCGGTAAATTTTGATGTCATCAGCAAAAAGCAGACACTTAGAATGGGCAACTGCATCACACATGTCATTAATAAACACATTGAAGAGAAGGGGTCCCAAGACAGATCCCTGAGGTACACCTGAGAGAACTTCAAAGGGTGAGGAAAGAACACCAGAAACACGGACCTGGGATTTCCGGTTGGATAGGTAACTGCGAAACCAGCTTACATAACCACCAGAAAGCCCAGCAGCACTTAGCTTGTGAAGAAGAAGAGAATGTGGGACAAGGTCGAATGCATAATCAAAATACATAAAACGAAATGCAAGTTGATTAAAAAAAAAATCCTGTGATACTAGTTTCGTTAACCTTATGAGTTTATTGAGAGAATTTTAAAAGTATTGCAGTAAATCAAAAGTTTTACATATGACCATGTCAGTCACCAATCGCATTAAGATACTGCAAGCAACCAGTTGTTATCTGTTTCAGTTGCTGAATAGAGGTTTTGCTATGCTTACTACTGTCCCTCTGAAAGAAACTCATACAATGTATAGAATGGATGATTAGTAGAAATAGTTTTAGCTTATGTTTACTGTGATTGGAAAGGTATGTAGTACCATGGGGGAAATGTGAAATGCATACAAAAATTTTGTCCAAATCCTCAAGGGAAAAGATCTGGGAGAAGCAGTTATATGTGAACAGATAATATTAAAAATGAATCTTAGAGAAATAGATGTAGACTGGGTTTAGCTAACTCAGAATAGTGATGGGCTCCAGTGAAAATGACAATGATCCTCTAGTTTCCATGAACATGAGAAATTTTATAATGAGTTAAATAATTATCAACTTTTCAGCAAAGACCTTCCACCATGAAGTTTGTGGTTGTGAAGGTTGTGATTCATTTATTTAAAGTCAGAGGAAGAACAGTTGCATTGATGTTTTTTAATTTTTTAATTTTGCAAACACTCTTTGCTCAGTAATTTGAAAACACAGTTAAGAATCTGAATACAGGTGAAGGTCTGATTCAGCGTATCTTCTACTGCAGTTTGGAACAACTGGTCCACATATTGTTTTCAAGGAAATTTAGACTAGGCTTTAAACAGAAACACGAAGGCTAAAACTGTGAAGGAAGTGAAATTTCACATTGAAGATAAATCTTAGTGAATTTTAAGTGATTGGAATAAAGTGAAAGGTGTAGTCGTGAAGTGTTAATCTGATATCACATCTACGTTTGTGTGTAGCGTTAAGTGAAAAAATTCTCGTGGATTAGCTTCAAAGTAAAGTGAACTATAATCAAGTAGGTAAATAGCGACAGTATTAGTATACATATTGTAAAGATGACCGGTAGCCTTCCGGGTAAATGTGAAGCTTGTCGTAGATGGGTAACAAACGGCATTATTTGTATTAACTGTGACTGCTGCTTCCACATAAACTGTGCAAGCACCAGTCCAAATTTAGCTGACAGAAACATGCCATGGGTTTGTATGTCATGTAAGTACCATAGGCATGCTAAGCATCAGGAGGAGAGAATCAGGCACCTTGAACTTGAATTAAAGATAGCTAAAGAAGAAATTAGAATACTGAAAGCTGGGAATATGAGTAGTAATAATGGCAGAGAGCAGAAAAACTCAGAAAGCTGGAACAAACCAACAAATTCAAAATCTAGGTATCGCAGGTTCTCTGCTGGTGATGCTGAAGTTAAACTGAGCAACAGATTCAGTGTACTGGAATCAGACATTCTGAATGTTGGGCAGCAAAGACAGGTTCTCTCTGAGCATGAGGGCAAGGAAGTAAGGCCAGTATCTAAAAAGGCAAGTAGCAAAAGAAAGATACTATTGCTGGGTAGCAGTCATGGTAGGGAAATTGGACCCATGCTGAAAGAAAGACTAGGCGAAAGATTTGATATTGTCGGTATCTTTAAACCAAATGCTCCTCTGGCAAATGTTGTTGAAGACCTAAGGAAGCTTGGTAAAGACCTTACCAAGCAAGATCATATTATAGTAGGAGGGCCAGGAAACAGCCTTGGTAGAAATTTCTGTTATTCTATAGAAAAGGACATCAGCCATATTGCACAGAGGACAGCCAATACAAATGTGGGGTTTGTCAGCCTCTTCAGGAGACACGACAAGCCATGGATGAACGATAAGGTTAGGAGAATGAATGTTCGGCTTGAACGGGCACTGATGGTATCTGGTATGGCTCACATTGGTATTATTAACTCAGATTATTTTGTAAGAGGTGATTTCACGACACATGGTCTCCACCTTAATTCTCAAGGCAAGAGGAAGCTGACACATTTGATTGCTGAAAGGATGGATGATGGCCTTCTGCCTAAAATAAGCAGTATTCCTGTTATAACCTGTGCTAGAGCCTCGCTTTTTTTAGATTAAAATCAAAACCATATAGGTGTTTAAAAAATATTGATTGCAAATACCAAGATTCAGAAATTCAAAGCAAAAACGTAAACTCAAAAAACTTACCATTAAATATATTTCATCAAAATATCAGGGGACTAGAAAACAAAAATGATGAATTAATACACTCTTTTGAATTAGATGGCATTAATCCCCATATATTATGTTTAAGCGAACATCACATGGTGGCACAGGATTTACTACACCTCACATTAGAGGGTTATTTATTAGGTTCTAGTTTTTGCAGACGAAACCGACAGAGAGGAGGCGTGTGTATTTTTGTTAAGAAAGATAAATGCTTTAACAGAATTGATATTTCACATTACTTCACAGAACAAGTTTTGGAAATTTGTGCTGTTCAATTAGAAACTAAAACATCTAACTTAATTATATTATGCCTGTATAGATCTCCAACAGGGGATTTTAACCAGTTTTTAAAGGGATTAGATGCTACTTTAAAGTATTTATACAATCCAAAGTCTGAATTCTTCATTTGTGGTGACAGATATAGACTATCTCAGTGACAGCAATTGAAAGAAACAAATGAACTCATTATTAACAACATATAATCTGATACATACTGTAAACTTTGCAACAAGAATTCAAAATGACTAGTACAACAATCGATAATATTGTGACATGTTGCACAACGGAGAACCCCTCCCTACCCAGCAGCAACGTGGCAACTCAGGCCACAGTGACGTGGCGGATGAGTCAGCGCTCCCCTCCCCCCCTCCGCACGGTAACGTAACGCGCAACGCGCGGTGACGTAAGACGTAAGATGAACTCATTATTAACAACATATAATCTGATACATACTCTAAACTTTGCAACAAGAATTCAAAATGACTCTAGTACAACAGTCAATAATATTGTGACATGTTGCGCAACGGAGAACCCCTCCCTACCCAGCAGCAACGTGGCAACTCAGGCCACAGTGACTTGGCGGATGAGTCAGCGCTCCCCTCGCCCCCTCCGCACGGTAATGTAACGTGCAACGCACGGTGACGTAAGATGGTGTGAGGTAACAGCGTTGCTACGTAACAGGCACACACAGCCACTATATAAGAGAGCTGCGCTGCCTGCGAGGAGAGTTGTAATGTGGCCGTTGACGAGTTCAGTAGTAGTTGAGCCAGTGTGTGATCAGCAGTTCTGCAGTTAGCAGACTACGGTTGGAGTATAGCAGCCGTTGTGGAAAGAAGAACCGGACGTGTGTGTAATTGTGTAATTGGGAGTGTGTGATACAGTGATACATAGCTCCCCTACTCTAAACGTGTAGACTACTGAAGACAGAGTGAATTGATTTGCGAATAGGGTTATAAATCGTGAAACCCTGCAAACAGTGTAAACAGAATTTTGCGATTAGGGTTATAAAGTGTGAAACCCTGCAACTGTGTGATAATTAATTGTAGCCGTTATTCGTAGGTTTTTGAATAAACCAATTAACAATCTGAACGGCGTCTTCAGTAACCCGACACGTTACAATATTTTTGTTGATGTTACAAGATTTAGCTCCTCCTCCACATCTCCCATTATAAATTGCCTATCTGATCATGATGCACAGTTTCTTGTGATGGACAATTTGGCTGTAGCAGGTAACTTATACATCAGAAGCAGAGAATAAGAAAAATAAACAGTGAATCAATAAAGCAATTTCAGCTCCTTCTAAAAAGAGAATTATGGGAACGCGTTTATAAGGAAAATGACACCAATAATAAGTACAACTTGTTTCTGTCTTTTTTTCTAAATATTTTTGAAGCCAGTTTCCCAATTAAATACAAAAATGTGCGTGAACTAAAGAATGACTGGATCACACAAGGGATAAAAATATCTTGCAAACATAAGAGGACTTTGTATGTTAACAGCAGGAATAGTAATAATCCAAATATAGGAGCATTTTATGTTAAGTACTGTAAAATTCTTAGAAATGTAAAAGAAGCTAAAAGGCAGCATTATAGCAGACTTGTAGCAATGTCAGAAAATAAAATAAAAATGACATGGAACATAATTAAAAGGGAGACTGGAAAAATGCATTTATCTGAAGAGATGCCGTCTCTTCTGGCTAAATCTGAGAAAGCAAAGGACCTAGAAACAGTTGCCAACGACTTCAATAAATTTTTCCTAAATATTGCTGAGAGCTTAAATTTACATCAGATGGGAAATGAAAATGCTTTGTCAATTTTGAGAGTTGCGTTTCCTACAAATTTTCCTAGTATCAAAATCATCCCAACAAATGAAGCTGAGATAAAGAATATAATACGCATCATGAAACCAAAAAACTCGTCAGGTTTTGATGAAGTAACAAGTAAAGTTCTGAAAGCTTGTTCTGATTTAATTAGTTGCCCTTTAGCTCACATTTGTAATCACTCATTACACACAGGCATTTTCCCAGACCGCCAAAAAA